TAATCATTCTTTGAATGTTTGGTAAAATTCTCCATAGAGCTCTCTGGGCCCAAGAATTTCTTTTTCAGCCTTTTTTATTTTGCTTTTCAGGTTTGTTTGCTTTTGTTTTTTGATATAGGGTCTTGCTCTGACACCCATGTTGGACTGCGGTAGTTATGATCAAAGCCCATGCAAACTTGAACTCTTGGGCTCAAGAAATCCTCCTGCCTCAGCCTCCCAAAGTGTTGGGATTACAGGTGGGTGCCACCACATCCATCTGTTTTGGAGATTTCTGAAGGCAGAATGGGGACCAAAGACCCCATTCTTGGCAAGTGAAAATACCCCCAGAAAAAGGAGGAAAACAACAAAGTAAGCTAAGCAAGGTGGGACAAAGGAAAGTCATCTAGTTTACCTTTAAACCAGCTGCTGCTAAATTTCTTATCTGAGCAAGTTTCCTGCTTTTCCTAGAACTCTGGCCTGTTGGGGATACAGCCTGCAATCACCCCTGCTAGGTCTGTAAGCACTCTGAAGGAATAATGGCCACAGAGGGCACTGTGTGCAAGGCCTAGCAAGAAACATTAACTAGGCTGGTTCCTGCCTAGTTAATAGTCAAAGCAGATACCCATTGTGGAGATTTGTATTTGGCTGGGGCAGAGATGAAGGGAACAACTTGAGCTCTGAAATATGGGTAGGAGGGCTTATATCCCTTATTGCAGAGGAAGACCCTCTGTGGTAGTGATGAGAAGAAAATTCCTCTCTCCCACCAATTCTTCAGAGGAGATTGACACCAGTTTTACTCCATCTAGAGGTGGCAAATTATAAGCACAACTATAAAATTCTCTCTTTAAAAAGAACTAGTGGAGATTAACACCTCTCTAGGAATCTCTGTGTGTGACCACAGATAGGAGGCTGCCCCTACATAAGGCTCAGGTTCTGAATTTCTCAAGACTGCTCAGACCCTTGAAGTTAATGATTGTAGAAACAATAGGAGCTGATATGCTTACTCAGATAAACTGCTGTCTGTGTCTTTGTTCCTTTCCTCAGCTTACCCTCTGGGCTAGTGAGCAAATGGCCTTCAATAAAAGCTGAGTGAAACCAACCCTTGGGGCCATTGTCAGAACCCCACAAATGGGTGGTGGTTCCCTGTGTTCTCACCTTTGAAAATTCTATTCTGTGTGTCTTGTCTCTTTATCTCTTATTGTTTCTAACTTTACTTTTCCCCAGTTGATTGCTGCCAGATCCACAGGTCTTAATGGACCCTGCCCCTGGGATGGAACCCTGACAGTTTCTGCTGAGATATCCTTAAGCTCAGAGACTTCTTTGTTCAGTTGTGTCTAATCTACTAATAAGCCCAGCAAAGGTATTCTTTTTTTCTGTTACAGTGGTTTTGATCTCTAGTATTTTGTTATGGTTCTTTCTTAGCATTTCTATCTCTCTGTTTACTGTGCCCATCTGTTCTTGCATGCTGTCTACTTTATCCCTTAGAGCCCTTAGCATATTAATCATAGTTATTTTAAATTTCCGGTCTGATAAATTCAGTATCTCTGGCACCTCTGAGTCTGGTTTGATGCTTACTCTGTTCTGTCAAACTGTGTTTTTTTGACATTTAGTTTGCCTTGTTAATTTTTTAATAATTGGGCATAATATACTAAGTAAAAGGAACTACTATAAAGAGGCATTTAGAATTGTGGTGGTAAGGTGTCAGGGGAGGGAAGCACTCTATAGTTCTGTGATTAGCTCTCAGTCTTTTAATGTCCAGTGCCCTGGATGTGAAAATCACACAAACTTCTCAGCCCTACCCCCTCTTAGATGGAGCAAGATGGCTGGAGTGAGCTGAAGTTGGTTATTTCCTCCTACTATATGGAAGGCTAGAGATGGCTAAAATTGGGTATTTCCCTCCCTGCCAGATCAGTTATACTCTGATATAATCACAGTAGGTTTGGCTCTGGTTAAATAGTTTCTTCTCAGGGTAGACCTTGTTAAGAAGAACAGAATGCTCTGGTATATTTCAAGATGGTTCCCTTCCCCTCTGCCTGTTGGAAGCATACAGAGGTTTTTCTCTGACATTTACTGTGAGAACTAGGTAGAGCTCCAGGAGGTAAAACACACAAAAGTGTGCCCTCTCCCCATGAGTGGGCCCCCTGGAGTTTTCATCTCTTAGACTAGTCCACTTGAACCTTTGCCAAATTCAGCAAGTTCTTCAATCACAATCTAGTCCCCCTGCTGTACCAGTTCCTGCAGATGTTTTCTGCTCTGGTTATTTATGTTCCCTGTATTTGTCTGCTGATGTAGTAGTTTGCCTTGTTGTTAGGTTTCAAAGGCCAACTGCCCATCTCCTAAAATGCTGAAGTTTCAGGCAGCTGCCTGGGTCCTTGGTTCTTAGATCATTCTTGGCTGAAAAATTGCCAGACACCCCAAAGTAAGACAAGCATGAAACAAAGTTTACTGAGGAAGAGAAAGGTAAGTTTACAGAGCAAGAACAAGATATAGGCTTACATATCCTTAAAGCAGGATACATTTGCCATACACATTGGACAGGTCTCCCTTGCCAGGGCAAGGAGGCAAAGAGGCAAGGGTTCTGGCCACTGGTTCTCTTCATGTTGCCTCAGTCAGTCCTACCTCATGGCTCAGAGGTCACCTTGGAACCAGAGTCTTATTGTGCATACAGACCTCCCATGAGCCCCTCCAAAAGCCCATTGGGAGATGGATTATATGATACAATAATTAGTCTTAAGGCTGTTCTAGGTTACCTTCAAGATTCTATTGTATCTGTTGGCAGGCTAGAAAGTCTTCTATACCCTTTTGCAGGTGGGACGCTAAGTTCTAATTTGCAGATTGGTAGGGTGATCCCTCTTCCCCCTGTGTGAGCAATCACTTGTTGCAAAATGAAGGTGGGCAGCACTGAGATGGAGGCCTGGGGGCCCTGCCCTTGTCCTTCTTCCCTGAGAGAGCTGTTCCTAATCAACTACCTAACACTGTGACCTCATTTTCCCTTATGAATCTAAGAAGGATAATTGATTTTTCAGCTTATTCAGCTTTTTATTTGTTAGGAAAGAACAGCATCTTCCAAGCCTCTAGTGTGCAGGACTGAAAACTAGAGGTCTAGTATTTCTTCTTCAGAAGTTTTTATATTACAGATTTAATTTCTTTTGTGATTTTAGTGCTATTCACACTATTTCATCCTGTTCGAGTTTCTAAAGCTTGTAGTTCTTGAGGGAATAATCTTTTCTAAAAAAATAAGTTGCCAAATCTATGATGGCAAAGGTGTTTGTTATATTCCTTTATTGCCTTTTTACTGGATGCAAGATTTGTGGTGATGTCCCTATCTTATTACAGATGTTAACACTTCGTGTCTGCTCCCCATTTGTTTTTATCAGTCTTCTAACAGGTTTTTTATCAATACAAGAAGTTTTATCAAGAAACAAGCTTTTGTGCCTGGGCACAGTGGTCAAGCCTATAATCCTAGCACTTTGGGAGGCCAAGGG